AGATTCACAAATAGGACATTTGTTCACATAATCAAGATAACATTTCAAGAAACCATAGCTTATCGATGACAATTAAAACATAATTTATATCAACATACTTTACAGAAATGTCCTTACAGTGGGCTCCCGAAAAAACACGTGCTAATCGTTTGGCGTCCGACCTAAACAAATAAGTCAAGCACAACACGATTACAATTACACTCTCACAATCCATTTAATTCGGTTACTTGTTTGCTTTTCGGTTTCTCTCATTTGATTCCAATTTTCATTCGATTATTCCTATTTATTTTTCTTCCATTCCTTTTAAATATGGATGACTAGTATTAGGAATAAATTAGATTATTAACCTCCAATTAAAATATGTTTAGCTATGTATTAACCAAACTAATTAAATCTAAATAATCTAATCATATACCAACCCTTATTAAGTTCACTAATTACACAATCAAACTTAAACTAGGCCCATACACATTAAATTAACAATTATTCAGTCATGTTTAAATTACTAAATCAGAAACTCATAAATATGTACATTTGAAATTTCAACTCCAAATCAATGCCCAAAACTCTTAAAAACATGTTGATTAAGACCTTGTTGAAATTCAATATTTAACTTGAAATAAAGATCAAACCTTCAATGTAAACTCAATTTCCACTTAAAATATCAAAATCTAAAATTTAAGTGTAAAATCATAAAAACATGCAAATTTGAGTTCCAAATTCATCTTTCGTGGAACATTCTTTTGAATTCCTTTAAGCCATGCAAGGAAATATAAAAGCATGGACATGAGTTTCTAACATGAAACACAATTAAAACTTTAAAACAAAACTCAAGTGTTCAATTGAAAGATCAAAATGTTAATTAATTTGAAAACATTACAAAACATGCCTATTTTGAGCTCTAAATTAAAAATTCATGGAGTCTCCTCCTCCAATTTGGAGAACTATGCAAGAAATCAAATGGATAAAAACAAATTTCCATAAAAATCATGCCATGCATGTTGAGTTTTAAGCATGTATTCTTCTAATTCCTCATTTTATAATTATATAGACCCAACTCTAATATTTACTCCATGAATTGAAATGTTTAATCTTAAAACTTGCATTCTTAAGCTTAAAATCCTCAACTCTCATGGAAAATTACTTCATTTTGTGAATCCATGCAGAGAGAATGAATGTATGTTCATGAATCTTTAAAAATCTTGACATGCATGTATACATTTTCCATTTATATCAACATCTCTTACAATCAAGTTTAATTCACCTCATCTCTTACAATCAAGTTTCTTTTCTTCTTAAATAATCTAGAATTCCATAAATATGAATGTAATTCTTCAAATTGGTGAGATACAAGCAAGGAATTCTTACCTAGAGTTAGAGAATTAAGTTGAATTCCTATTTTTCTTCAAGTTTCTTCTCTCTTGGTATCTTTTCTTCTTCCTGTTAGTATAACAAAGCTCACAATCACTCTCTTGAGTCCCTCTCTCTCTCCACGTATGTGTGTTGGATGCTTCAACAAACCCACTGTTTTTCTTATATGAAGTGAATGGGTTAATAAATGAGTAGAATAACTAATAATACAAATAATTAAATTTTCTAGCTTAAATAGTAGTTAACTAGCTCAAATAAATTAAATTAAGTTAACCTCTAATATTTTATGACTTAAATCAAGTTAGTTTCAATTTGCCTAATGTAAATTAGGCTCTAATTTCATATCCAATTATTTAATTTTAACTTATTAAAATTAGCGAATCAAGACAAGTTTAATTTAATTAAAACTTCACAGATAACTCTAAAATTCCAATTAATATATCCTTGCACTCAATTTTGATTTCTGAACCCATTTATGTCATCAATTTCAATTCCAAAGTTGTATTCTCAACAAATAATTTCTCAATTTGGACAAATATACACAAATTAAATCATTTAATCCGCAATTAACACATGGATAATTCAAAAAATTATAATTTGCATTTTTGGGGTGTTACACCAAGCTCCGCCACGTCTCTGCTAATTTGCTCTTCCTCGTCACCAACAAGTATGTATGTATGTGTGGATATATATAGATGTGTGTGTGTGTGGTTGTATGCATGTTTGTATGTATATATGACTCATACATACATGTGTATATGTATATATATCGGTAAGTGAGCGTATGTATATATATTTGTGAGCATATGTATGTGTATCTTTGAGTGAGTGTATGTATGTATATCTGTGAGTGTGTGAGCGTATGTATGTATATCTGTGATTGTATGTATGTATGAGACAAATTTGGAACAGTAAAATTTTACTCTAGTTAAAAACATGTTGATTTTCTCAGCAACCAAACTATATTTGGTTTTCTTGTTATGTTTCTATGATTTTCTCAGCAACCAAACATGCAAGGTTATTAATACATGACACTTAGTATGATTCAAAGTAGATACTCTCCTTAGATCATAGTAAAATTTACTATGATTCAAAATAAAATTTTACTTTGAAATTTACTTTGGTTAAAAACATGTTGATTTGCTTAATGATATAAAATTTTACGTTAAATCATAGTAAACTTTACTCTGATTCAGAGTAAAATTATATTTTCAGAGTAAAGTTTTACTCTGAAATTTTACTCTGGTTAAAACATGTTGATTTGCTTAAATGATTCAGAGTAAAGTTTTAACTGTGATTCAAAGTAAATTTTACTCTGAAATACACTGTAAAGATGGCTTAATAGGAGAGCTGATAGATATGAGGGTAAATATAGTAAAGAAACAATTTTAAAATATTATGGGGTTTTGAAAGTACCTATATAATTCTTGTCATTTTGAAAGACATATTAGATAGTGAGGGGTTTATCACCAAATCTCCCTTTTAAAAATTATCAAAATTATCTTTATTGTTAATTTAAAAAAAACAAAACAAAACAAAACAAAACAAATTACTCTTGTTATATGGGCTATAGATGTCCACCAACTTAATTTTTTGTATGAATTATCTACTTAACGAATTTACAATATGAACTATTCAGATTATTGGAAGAGACATAGGACGAGCCTCTACAGCGTCATAGTAGCCTGCTGTGCACAACAGGATTCCCAATTCCTATATAGTTTTTGAGTTGTTTGTTTTCCATATTTTTTGTTTTATTATAATTTTTAAATATTTTAATCAATTTTATTTTTATTGTTTAGATCCACTTAATCTATATACACTTAAAAATAAAATATTTGTGAAAAAATCTTTAAACAATTCATCAAAAAAAAACAAAACAAAAAACAAAACAAAAATTCTATACATTTTTTTTTTTATATTTGTTGATTTTTTAAAAATTTCTTCACAAATATTTACTTTTTAAGTACATTTTGATTAGGTATATTATTAAAAAATAAAAGAAGTAATTAGAATATGAATGAAAATTACTAAAAATAATAAATATGAAAAACTTAAAAACTATATTTGATAACTCAAAATAATTTTTTTTTTTTGAAACCTCTAATGCCAAACGAAGCCTAGCGTCTCACATTCTCCATATGAAAGAGGAAAAAAAAAAAAAGGCAAAAAATAAAATGGGAATACCACTAATTATTTTTTCAAAAAACAAGTGAAACAAGTAAGGGTTTCAATCTTATTGATGATTCATATGTTAGTACTTCAACTAGCTCCATTTGCATAATTGGTTCAATTTTATGTTAGGAATATCGTAAAATTAATATTATGGCAAAAGAGAATCATGGTAGATTAGGACTAATACACCCTGTGAGGCAAGATAAAGAATAATTAATTTACGAGAGACATTTTTCTGTCTTTTTAAGTTTTTCTTTTCTTTTTTCAGTCATATGTATTATTAACTGTAGATGAGCTTCTTTTTTTTTTTTTTTTAGAACATTGAAAACCATCAGGGATCATTTGTATTAGGACACGACTGTACAGTCATATGTATTTTCTTAGCATATGTATTATTAACTGTTTAATTATAAATGATTTGAAAATCTCAAAACATAAGAATATTAAGACATAAATCGTACAGTCAGGAATCATCTATTCTCAAATTTCTATCATTCGTCCCATGCATTTTCAGTTGTAGATCATATGAAAATCTAGTGACTTGAGAATCTTGCAAAATAATTAAATGATTAGAATATATTGGAACATAGAACCAAAAGATTTGGAAAAAAAAAAAAGAACTTGTGTTTTATCATGCGGTTGAGAATACACCGAACAAGAAAATAAGAATTTTTGAGACATGAGATCCCTTGCTTAATTAATGTGACTTAAATGATCTACATCTTATGCTAGACAAAAAGGAATTCAAAACTAATTGATAACTTCTATCTCAAAACTTCTCTATTCTCTGTCTTAACTAGTTTATAATTATAATATCACGTATTTAAATTATTTCAAGATAATCATATAATGAAATAGTTATGAATCAAATGAGACATAATATAAAGACAAATTTAAGACAGGATCTCTACCCACCTAAACTCATTTGTTAGATTAGCCCCCTCTCTCTCTCTCTCAAAAGATAGTAAAGAAAATGAGTATCCATTATCATAAAACACTTTCAAACAAATGAACCTCGCAACACAAACCATGCAAATTCCAACATGTTTCTACATTAGAGGTTCTTCTGTATAGAGATGGAAGTCCTACAACTACTGAACAATGTCTCTCTCCTACCTAGTGAAGATAGAAGAGAAACCCTAGAAGTCTTCTTTGATATGGCAGCCTTAGGACTGTATATATGATTGTCTAAACGCCCCATAGCTCTTACATGACTTCGATTTCCTTCTATAAGGTCTTTTTCCCTTCTTACAAGGTCTTCAAGGCTCTTCACACTTGCAAGAGATCCAAAAGTCTGTGACTTGCCTTGATAATACTTTGAAAGCCCTCTCCTGCACAATCACATAGGTGCACACTTTTAGTACTCTAAAACTTAAAAAGTTATGTTTGGATTTGAGTTTGTAAATGAATTTTCAGAGGGATTTATGAAGTAAAAAGAAAAAGGGAAGGAAAACAGATCGTGGCTTTGGTTACATTTACGTTTTATTCGCTTTCATTTTTCATTTTTCATTTTTTTTGGGCATTTTCTAAAAATGGGTTATTTTCAAAATAGTTTTTAAGAAACAATTTGACAAAAAAGTATAGATCTGTTTTTTGTAAAAAATAAAAAACGAGAATAGAAAAATGAAAACACAACCAAACTGTTCTAATTTGTAATTTCTATTTTTTTTTTTTTTCTTCACAACAAATTCAAAAATTCAAACACACCATCTTAATGCTTAAATAACAAATCAAATATATTATGTAGATACATAATTATACAATTGATCACTCACTTGATGGGTAGTTGGGCCATGAGCTCTGATAATTCATACAAAGGTCCATCAGAAGGTGATGATGAAGATGATGTTGAAGACGTTGCATCCTCCATCATATCTAATGAAGAAGATGATCCATTAATTGAACCTTCAAAGGAGGACTCATTGGACTCAACCACATATACATTGCCACCTTCCATAATCACCATTGATAGTTGAGCCACTCATCATTTTCTTCCAATATTTTGTCTTCATAAATTTCTCTTCTCCACCCATTGTAATAATTCAAAGTCGAAGCAACAGGAACAAGAATAGCAAGAACAAAGGAGGAGGAGGATAGTTTAGTCTCTCTCTGTATATGTATATATATGTTAGGGTTTGACAAAAGTAAAAAAGAAATGGTATTATATTGATGAGACTTGGTTAGGGAATTATACAATATGTGTAAGGTATAAATGAAGCAATGGAGGGTGCTGAATAGTGTGGTCCTTCTGTATAATTCTTTTTTGTTGTTGTTGCTCTATCCTTAGATTTGTCAATGTCATATTCTCTCTCATGATTTGAATTGCTTTCCTTCTACAAGGAAATAAGATAAGGTCTATATTTGAAGACATCCATATCTGAGTCATCACCACCTTTTTCATTATGGGGATTGAGGTCACAATCTTGGGCGACTTTGCCCTCATAAAGTCATGGCACAAACACCCATTATTCTTTGGAGTAATGTTGGGTGGCTGAAAAGATGGCTCAATGATTAAAATTTCACATTATCGGCCGTTTGGTCGATCATTCGGCCGTTTGTTCGATAAGGAAGTTGACAGTTACGATCGATAAAGGTGACAATCACGGTAGACAAGCTTTTATCTGGTCGTTTGGATGAACATTCGCGGTCCATCCGCCAGATAACTGGTCACACCCATTCGGATTATTTGAGCAGTTCTTTTCAGGCTACTAAGCATTGTACTTTTTTTTAAATATTAATATTTATTAGTGGATGAATTTTACTGTATTTTTTTTCCTCTTATTGGTCAAATAACAATGTCATGTGTATATACAAAATCTATCTTATTCGAAAATAATAATAATAATGTTGTAGGTCTATATGATATTTGCTGAAAAAAAATTGGCGAAATTTATATAGCAATCTTCTTTCTTTCGATTGTATTTAAGCTGAAAAATGTATATAGCTAACCCCAGTTATCTGAACACAAGGCTTCAGTCCTATTTGGTGCAAGTTTATAGATATAATTCTAGATTTTTTTTTTTTAAAAAAAAAAAGTTATTTTAGAAATATGTACATTATGCTTATAATTAAAGAGTTAAAATAACATTATATATATATATATATATACTTACTAGGAAGCTTGGGAATTTTAATTTTTAGCTTAAATTTTTTAATTTATCAAGTTTTAACTTGAGAAAATTACACAAGTAAATCCTTAGTTTGTTTGATCTCTTTTTCATTTATTTCATAAATTCATTCAGAAATTCAAAATCCAAATAGAATGGCATCTTCATTGTCATGCCAAATAGTAATCTCTAGTTTTAGTATATAACCTTATTAATTTAATTTAATTTTTTCATGTTCAAGTGTTTAAATTGTGTCACATTAAGCCTAATTTTAAGGATAGTACAAGTTTATTGTCTCAACTGTTTGACAGTTTTTTGCAGTGAAGTATTCTTATATATAATAACAATTTCTTAGTCAAACATCTAGTGTTAACAAATGAAAAATTGCAACCACTAGATTTATACAGAGTACTTGGTGCATTGGTATTCTATGTTGTAGAAATTGAAGCATTCACATAGAGATAATTAACACAATGGAGAGAATCATATGCTCAAGCATATATATGAAAGAAAAATAAAATAAAATTGTTAATAGTGTTAAGAAAAGTCAGGCCTAGTGGCTCAACAAGTACATTTTAATACAATGAAAATTAAACTGATCTGATAATTTATACATATCTTTTTCATCACAATTGTATGCAAAAATGACAGATCTTAGTTTAAAAATAAAATTTGTGTGTGCAATAAATATGATAAAATCAGTACATTATAAATTATTAAATCAATCTAATTTTTTATTCATAATTATGAACATATGTTAATAAATAAACAATTCAGATAATAAAAGTTTGGCTATGATGGGACCCATTGGCTGAACTGCACAGTCTAATAATAGACTTAAAAAAATGTTGAGGAGCTTAGGGAGTGGTCCCTACTCATTGATATGATGTTTTGGTCTTAAGTTTTTTTTTTTTTTTAATTTTCACCTCATTAATGCTCAATTAGTACGTCTAAATTAATGGGATGAATCATTATTGATCGACTAAGAAGAAGCTCTTTCTCTGACATATTAACTAGTTTAAGGAAAATGTAAATATTAATCAATAATCAATCCAAAAGGTTGATTTTTTAGAGAACATTAATGTTGTGTTTGGTTAGAGATTTTAATTAAGGAGGGATTTGAAAGGGAATGAAAAATTAGTAAATGTAATAAAATATACTTATATTTTACATAATTTTATATACTTTTTGCATTTCTCTTTTTAAATCCTTCCTAAATCTCTAACTAAATACAGTGTAAAAATTTTTAAAAAAAATTGACAAAAAAGTCGCAGAATAAACATAGAGTCGTTAATTGTTTATTCTGTGATTTTTCTGTTATATTTATGCTATAATTTATTTTAAACTTTTATATCCGACGGGATACAAGTATTTTAAAGAGAGGAACCCGCAATGGTGGCCCAGTGGTGGGGAAGAAAACTTGAGGTCTGGGAGTTTGCTCCTCTGGAGGTCCAGTTCGAATCCACTCCCCACGGGTTACTGTGGCGGGCCACTGGACGGTTACCTGGTCGTTAACTTCAGGTCCTCAGAAGATTAAATTTCCCATGGGCTTCAAAGCTGTGGGGATACCTGAGTTATCAAAAAAAAAAAAAAAAAAAAGTATTTTAAAGAGAGAGAATGTTGGTGGTTATAGATTCTTAACCTTTACCATTTAACTTAAGACTGGAGTAGAGAGTGTGTTTCTTTAATTAATGAAATGGACGGTGGAGAGTGGCTGAAAACAGGGGAATAAGGATAAGGAGGGTTTGACCATTGATGAGTCATCCTCATATCATAGATTTGAACACATCACCCTGAACCAGTCCATTGTCTCCACCACTCATCTTTTGGGGTAGGCCTTAATTATCCATGCCCACAGTTTAGAGGTGGGACATTATTGATGTGTTTGTTAGTTGGGTTTGTGAATTCTAATCTTTTTTAAGTATGATTTAGATCCTATCTTCACGAGATTTTACAAGACTCGCGTAAAGTTGAATTATTTATGATATGAACTTTAATATATACATGAGTAAATTTCACACATTATACAGAAATCAAGATCATTTTAGAAGTGTGAGAGTCATCCTAAAAAAGATCCAAACATTTTCCAACCTTTCCCTCGATTTTCTCAATAAGTAGTTTAATCCTGGTGTCATATGTCTTGCAAGTATCTAATCAATGTCTTTAGTCTTAAAACTTACAAAGGGGTTAATTTATTAGGGCAAATTACAAACATCTCCTCCAAATTTTGTGAAAATACAGATTTTTTTTTTGTAGGTTTTGCGAAATTACAAATTGTCTCTTGAAGGTCAAATTTACATAACAAATTAGGGAGGAACTGTATAAAAATAAAATTTCAAGGGACAATTTTGTTATGAAAATATAACTCAAGGGGCGGGATTGTAATTTCTCAAACCTCAGGAGAAAATCTGTATTTTCACCAAATCTGAGGGAGGTGTTTTGTATTGCCCTATTATTAAGATCATAGGGAATTTCAAAATTATTAAAATTTATATAATACTATATAAGTATAAGTGTAGGGTAAGTTTTATATGTTATGATTCACATATGCGTGAATTTATATAAAATATTTGAGACATTTTTTTAAATCTTTAACATTTTTTTTATTTTATTTTTATTTTATTCCTTAAATTATCGTTACGTTTTTTTTTTATTTTTTAACTATTAATTTCTTTAAAACTCTTAAAAATTTGAAATAGTTGCCAAATCAATATTTGTAAAAGCTTAATTTAACTGTCAAAAAATGTCATTTATTTAAACAACTTAAATTATATAACATCAACTTAAATATATATAAGTGTAGTGTAGGTGCAGGTTCAGTATGTTGAACGAGTGAGGAGAAGAGATGGCGTTTGATTGTAGTGTGTAAATTGTCTAAATAGTGTCAGTAAGATGAAGTTTGATTGTAGTATCAAAAAGTTTTAGAGTTCTAATAAAAGAGTTTTAATTCTCTATAGAGGTTGGGTTTCACTTTGATAGTATATATTTCTGTCTTGTAGGTTTTTTTTTTTTTTTTTTGAATTTTCTGTCATTAGACTCCTTTTGTTAAAGAGATTGTATCATTATGTGTTGTAGTATATAGATTGCCCAAATGTAAAATTACCTTTTGCTCATTAGGTTATGGTTTTGCTATTATTGCTTTTGATGGACTCTCTCCAATTGGACTAGGAGTAGTGGTGTCTAATTGCCATTACAAGTTGAAGACAACACAAAACAACCTATTTGATAAAGGCCTTAGCTTCTCTCTAGTTCGAATAGGACTTGAGTGTATTGTTAGACTTTTGGGTTCATCTGAATCATTTAATATTTAGAGTTTATTAGTCTCTAATAAAAAATTATATTGGTCAGATATTAATAACGTTTATAGATCAAATTTGTGTCAATGGTACATGATTTTAAAAATAATTGACACAATATATCTGATCAATGGCTATTGATATCCAATCAACGCTATTTTTATAGGATAAAGCATTTTGACGAGTCCTAAACATTAAACGATTCGAGATCTCGATGTGGGCCCTGTGGTGGGCTCACGAGCCCAACAAGGCGCTCCAATTGCAAAACCAAATGGAAGAAAGCATTGTCCTTTAATAATGTGTTATCTACGCAAATACTACACGACCTGGTAATAATCATGTCAATGGCCTGTTTGGTACAGCTTAATTTCAGCTTATTTCAGCTTTCAGTTTAATTTAAGCTATTTTGATGTGTTTTTGGTTTAGCCTAACTTATAACTTTTTTGTAAGTCAGAAATCAACTTATTCTTTGAGTGAGGCAGGAGAAGCTTAATTTATAAGTCAGAAAATCAGTTTATGTTCGAGTAGTTATAAGCTATAAGCTGTTAAGGTATAAGCTATACGCACTTTCCACAGCTCTACCAACAGGGCTAATATGTGGTTGACACGATTAATTGATCCACCTATTTAACATGCATGAATACACCGAAGACAAGAAAAGAAAACTTATTTAACCTGTTAATATTTTTGTTCCATATTGTTACTTTCTATACTATGAATTCATGGTTCATATTAGTTTAAACATTAAATGAATGACTGAAATATAATTTTGATGCAAATTATATATATACGCAAACGTGTGTCATTGATACAGGTCAAATTTTCAAGTGTAAAATCACCATTATATATACAAATTATGTTCTTTTTCATAACTTTTGAGATTTCCTTCTTAAAGTTCATAAATCATGCAAGAAAACAATTGTTTTGTTCATGAATTCTTGAAAACATTACATTTAATAGGTGTTTGAACTAAAATTATGCCATGCATGTTGAGTTTTAAGCATGTATTCTTCTAATTCCTCATTTTATAATTATATAGACCCAACTCTAATATTTACTCCATGAATTGAAATGTTTAATCTTAAAACTTGCATCCTTAAGCTTAAAATCCTCAACTCTCATGGAAAATTACTTCATTTTGTGAATCCATGCAAGAGAATGAATGTATGTTCATGAATCTTTAAAAATCTTGACATGCATGTATACATTTTCCATTTATATCAACATCTCTTACAATCAAGTTTAATTCACCTCATCTCTTACAATCAAGTTTCTTTTCTTCTTAAATAATCTAGAATTCCATAAATATGAATGTAATTCTTCAAATTGGTGAGATACAAGCAAGGAATTCTTACCTAGAGTTAGAGAATTAAGTTGAATTCCTATTTTTTCCTTCAAGTTTCTTCTCTCTTGGTATTCTTTTCTTCTTCCTGTTAGTATTCTAACAAAGCTCACAATCACTCTCTTGAGTCCCTCTCTCTCTCCACGTATGTGTGTTGGATGCTTCAACAAACCCACTGTTTTTCTTATATGAAGTGAATGGGTTAATAAATGAGTAGAATAACTAATATAACAATAATTAAATTTTCTAGCTTAAATAGTAGTTAACTAGCTCAAATAAATTAAATTAAGTTAACCTCTAATATTTATGACTTAAATCAAGTTAGTTTCAATTTGCCTAATGTAAATTAGGCTCTAATTTCATATCCAATTATTTAATTTTAACTTATTAAAATTAGCGAATCAGACAAGTTTAATTTAATTAAACTTCACAGATAACTCTAAAAATTCCAATTAATATATCCTTGCACTCAATTTTGATTTCTGAACCCATTTATGTCATCAATTTCAATTCCAAAGTTGTATTCTCAACAAATAATTTCTCAATTTGGACAAATATACACAAATTAAATCATTTAATCCGCAATTAACACATGGATAATTCAAAAAATTATAATTTGCATTTTTGGGGTGTTACACCAAGCTCCGCCACGTCTCTGCTAATTTGCTCTTCCTCGTCACCAACAAGTATGTATGTATGTGTGGATATATATAGATGTGTGTGTGTGTGGTTGTATGCATGTTTGTATGTATATATGACTCATACATACATGTGTATATGTATATATATCGGTAAGTGAGCGTATGTATATATATTTGTGAGCATATGTATGTGTATCTTTGAGTGAGTGTATGTATGTATATCTGTGAGTGTGTGAGCGTATGTATGTATATCTGTGATTGTATGTATGTATGAGACAAATTTGGAACAGTAAAATTTTACTCTAGTTAAAAACATGTTGATTTTCTCAGCAACCAAACTATATTTGGTTTTCTTGTTATGTTTCTATGATTTTCTCAGCAACCAAACATGCAAGGTTATTAATACATGACACTTAGTATGATTCAAAGTAGATACTCTCCTTAGATCATAGTAAAATTTACTATGATTCAAAATAAAATTTTACTTTGAAATTTACTTTGGTTAAAAACATGTTGATTTGCTTAATGATATAAAATTTTACGTTAAATCATAGTAAACTTTACTCTGATTCAGAGTAAAATTATATTTTCAGAGTAAAGTTTTACTCTGAAATTTTACTCTGGTTAAAAACATGTTGATTTGCTTAACAATGATTCAGAGTAAAGTTTTACTGTGATTCAAAGTAAAATTTTACTCTGAAATACACTGTAAAGATGGCTTAATAGGAGAGCTGATAGATATGAGGGTAATATAGTAAAAGAAACAAATTTTAAAATATTATGGGGTTTTGAAAGTACCTATATAATTCTTGTCATTTTGAAAGACATATTAGATAGTGAGGGGTTTATCACCAAATCTCCCTTTATAAAATTATCAAAATTATCTTTATTGTTAATTTAAAAAAAAACAAAACAAAACAAAACAAAACAAATTTACTCTTGTTATAGGGCTATAGATGTCCAACCAACTTAATTTTTTGTATGAATTATCTACTTAACGAATTTTACAATATGAACTATTCAGATTATTGGAAGAGACATAGGACGAGCCTCTACAAGCGTCATAGTAGCCTGCTGTGCACAACAGGATTCCCAATTCCTATATAGTTTTTGAGTTGTTTGTTTTCCATATTTTTTGTTTTTATTATAATTTTTAAATATTTTAATCAATTTTATTTTTTTATGTTTAGATCCACTTAATCTATATACACTTAAAAAATAAAATATTTGTGAAAAAATCTTTAAACAATTCATCAAAAAAAAACAAAACAAAACAAAAACAAAAATTCTATACATTTTTATTTTTTTATATTTGTTGATTTTTTAAAAATTTCTTCACAAATATTTACTTTTTAAGTACATTTTGATTAGGTATATATATTTAAAAAATAAAAGAAGTAATTAGAATATGAATGAAAATTACTAAAAATAATAAAATATGAAAAACTTAAAAACTATATTTGATAACTCAAAATAATTTTTTTTTTTGAAACCTCTAATGCCAAACGAAAGCCTAGCGTCTCGCATTCTCCATATGAAAGAGGAAAAAAAAAAAAAGGCGAAAAATAAAATGGGAATACCACTAATTATTTTTTCTAAAATAACAAGTGAAACAAGTAAGGGTTTCAATCTTATTGATGATTCATATGTTAGTACTTCAACTAGCTCCATTTGCATAATTGGTTCAATTTTATGTTAGGAATATCGTAAAATTATATTATGGCAAAAGAGAATCATGGTAGATTAGGACTAATACACCCTGTGAAGCAAGATAAAGAATAATTAATTTAAGAGAGACATTTTTCTGTCTTTTTAAGTTTTCTTTTCTTTTTTCAGTCATATGTATTATTAACTGTACGATGTGCTTTTTTTTTTCTTAGAACATTGAAAACCATCAGGGATCATCTGTATTAGGACACGACCATACAGTCATATGTATTTTCTTAGTCATATGTATTATTAACTGATTTAATTATAGAATGATTTGAAAATCTCAAAACATAAGAATATTAAGACATAGTCGTACAGTCAGGAATCATCTATTCTCAAATTTCTATCATTCTGTCCCAATGCATTTTCAGTTGTAGATCATATGAAAATCTAGTGACTTGAGAATCTTGCAAAATAATTAAATGATTAAGAATATATTGGAACATAAGAACCAAAAGATTTGGAAAAAAAAAAAAGAATCTTGTGTTTTATCATGCGGTTGAGAATACACCGAACAAGAAAATAAGAATTTTTGAGACATGAGATCCCTTGCTTAATTAATGTGACTTAAATGATCTACATCTTATGCTAGACAAAAAGGAATTCAAAACTAATTGATAACTTCTATCTCAAAACTTCTCTATTCTCTGTCTTAATTAGTTTATAATTATAATATCACGTATTTAAAATTATTTCAAGATAATCATATAATGAAATAGTTATGAATCAAATGAGACACAAATATAAGACAAATTTTAAGACAGGATCTCTACCCACCTAAACTCATTTGTTAGATTAGCCCCTCTCTCTCTCTCTCTCTCAAAAGATAGTAAGAAAAATGAGTATCCATTATCATAAAACACTTTCAAACAAATGAACCTCGCAACACAAACCATGCAAATTCCAACATGTTTCTACATTAGAGGTTCTTCTGTATAGAGATGGAAGTCCTACAACTACTGAACAATGTCTCTCTCCTACCTAGTGAAGATAGAAGAGAAACCCTAGAAGTCTTCTTTGATATGGCAGCCTTAGGACTGTATATATGATTGTCAAAACCGCCTCCATAGCTCTTACATGACTTCACTTTCCTTCTATAAGGTCTTTTTCCCTTCTTAGCAAGGTCTTCAAGGCTCTTCACACTTGCAAGAGATCCAAAAGTCTGTGACTTGCCTTGATAATACTTTGAAAGCCCTCTCCTGCACAATCACATAGGTGCACACTTTTTAGTACTCTAAAACTTAAAAAGTTATGTTTGGATCTTGAGTTTGTAAATGAATTTTCAGAGGGATTTATGAAGTAAAAAAGAAAAGGGAAGGAAAACAGATCGTGGCTTTGGTTACATTTACGTTTTATTCGCTTTCATTTTTCATTTTTCATTTTTTTGGGCATTTTCTAAAAATGGGTTATTTTCAAAATAGTTTTTAGAAACAATTTGACAAAAAAGTATAGATCTGTTTTTTGTAAAAAATAAAAAACGAGAATAGAAAAATGAAAACACAACCAAACTGTTCTAATTTGTAATTTCTATTTTTTTTTTTTTTCTTCACAACAAATTCAAAATTCAAACACACCATCTTAATGCTTAAATAACAAATCAAATATATTTATGTAGATACATAAATTATACAATTGATCACTCACTTGATGGGTAGTTGGGCCATGAGCTCTGATAATTCATACAAAGGTCCATCAGAAGGTGATGATGAAGATGATGTTGAAGACGTTGCATCCTCCATCATATCTAATGAAGAAGATGATCCATTAATTGAACCTTCAAAGGAGGACTCATTGGACTCAAAACCACATATATCATTGCCACCTTCCATAATCACCCATTGATAGTTGAGCACATCATCATTTTTCTTCAATATTTTGTCTTCATAAATTTTCTCTTCTCCACCCATTGTAATAATTCAAAGTCGAAGCAACAGGAACAAGAATAGCAAGAACAAAGGAGGAGGAGGATAGTTTAGTCTCTCTCTGTATATGTATATATATGTTAGGGTTTGACAAAAGTAAAAAAGAAATGGTATTATATTGATGAGACTTGGTTAGGGAATTTATACAATATGTGTAAGGTTATAAATGAAGCAATGGAGGGTGCTGAATAGTGTGTCCTTCTGTATAATACTTTTTCTTTGTTGTTGCTCTATCCTTAGATTTGTCAATGTCATATTCTCTCTCATGATTTGAATTGCTTTCCCATTCTACAAGGAAATAAGATAAGGTCTATATTTGAAGACATCCATATCTGAGTCATCACCACCTTTTTCATTATGGGGAATTGAGGTCACAGTCTTGGGCGACTTTGCCCTCATGAAGTCATAACACAAACACCCATTTATCTTTGGAGTAATGTTGGGTGGTTGAAAAAGATGGCTCAAATGATTCAAATTTCACATTATCGGTGTTTGATCGATCATTCGGCCGTTTGTCCTATAAAAAAGTTGACAGTCACGATCGATAAAGGTGATAATTGCGGTAGACAAATTTTCACCTGGTCGTCTGGGTAGACGTTCGGCCGATCATCCGCCCAGATAACTGGTCAACACCCATTCGAGTTATTTGAGCGGCTCCTTTTTAGGCCACTAAGCATTTTGCTTTTTTTTAAAATATTATATTTATTAGTGGATGAATTTTAATGTATTTTTTTTACCTCTTATGTGGTCAAATAACAATGTCATTGTGTATATACAAAATCTATCTTATTCGAAAATAATAATAATAATGTTGTAGGTCTAATATGATATTTGGTGGGAAAAAAATTGGCGAAATTTATATAGCAATCTTCTTTCTTTCCATTGTATTTAAGCTGAAAAATGTATATAGCTAACCCCAGTTGATCTGAACATAAGGCTTCAGTCCTATTTGGTGCAAGTTTATAGATATAATTCTAGATTTTTTTTTTTTTTTTTAAAAAAAGAAGTTATTTTAGAAATATGTACATTATGCTTATAAAGAGTTAGAAATAACATTATATATATATATATATATATATTACTAGGAAGCTTGGGAAATTTTAATTTTAGCTTAAATTTTTTAATTTATCAAGTTTTAACTTGAGAAAAATTACGCCAAGTAAATCCTTAGTTTGGTTTGATCTCTTTTTTCATTTATTTTCATAAATTCAAAATCCAAATAGAATGGCATCTCATTTGTCATGCCAAATAGTAATCTCTAATTTTAGTATATAACCTTTTATTAAATTTAATTTAATTTAATTCATGTTCAAGAGTTTAAATTTGTTCACATAAGCCTAATTTAAGGACAGTACAAGTTTTATTGTCTCAACTGTTTGACAGTTTTTGCAGTGAAGTATTCTTATATATAACAATAATGAAAAATTGAAACCACTAGATTTATACCGAATACTTGGTGCATTGGTATTCTATGTTGTAGAAATTGAAGTATCACATAGAGATAATTAACCAATGGAGAGAATCATAATGTTAAGATGCTCAAGCATATATATGAATAGAAAAAATAAAAATAAAAATTGTTAATAGTGTTAAGAAAAGTCAGCCCTAGTGAGCTCAATACGTACATTTTATACATATGAAAAATTAAGCTGATCTGATAATTTTATACACATCTTTTCATCACAATTGTATGCAAAAAAATGACAAATCTTAGTTTAAAAATAAAAATTTGTGTGTGCAAATAAATATGATAAAAACATGTACTTATAATTATTAAATCAATCTATTTTTTTTTTTATACATAATTTATGAACATATGTTAATAAAATAAACAATTCAGATAATAAAAGTTTGGCTATGATGGACCCATTGGGCTGAAGTGCACAGTCTAATAATAGACTTAAAAAAATGTTTAGGAGCTCTAAAGGAGTTCTAGGGAGTGGTCCTCACTTATTGATGTGATGTTTTTATCTTAGGTTTTTTTTTTTTTGTTAATTTTCACCTCATTAATGCTCAATTAGTACTTCCAAATTAGTGGGATGAATCATTATTGATCGACTTAAGAGAAGCTCTTCTCTGACATATTAACTAGTTTAAGGAAAAATGTAAATATTAATCAATAATCAATCCAAAAGGTTGATTTTTTAGAGAAACGTTAATGTTGTGTTTGGTTAGAGATTTTGAAGAGAAATTTGTAAAGAAAAATGGAAAAGTTAGTAAAATGTGAATAAAATATACTTATATTTCACATAATTTTATATACTTTTTTTCATTTCTCTTTTTAAATCCTTTCCTAAATCTCTAACTAAATACAGCGTAAAAAATTTAAAAATAAAATTTGAAAAAAAGTCGCAGAATAAACATAGAGTCGTAATTGTTTATTCTGTGATTTTTCTGTTATATTTATGCTATAATTTATTTTAACTTTTATATCCGACAGGATACAAGTATTTTAAAGAGAGAGAATGTTGAGTGGTTATAGATTCTTAACCTTTACCATTTAATTAAGACTAGAGTAGAGAGTGTGTTCATTTAATTAATGAAATGGACGGTGGAGAGTGGCTGAAAACAGGGGAAACAAGGATAAGGAGGGTTGACCAGTGATGAGTCATCCTCATATCATAGAATTTGAACACATCACCCTGAATCATTCATTTGTCTCCACCACTCATCTTTTGTGGGTAGGCCTTAAATCTTATCCATGGCCCACAGTTTAGAGGTGGGACATTATTGATGTGTTTGTTAGTTGTGGGTTTGTAAATTCTAATCTTTTTGGAATAATGATTGAGATCCTATCTTCATGAGATTCTTATAAGACTCTTATAAATCTGAATTATTTATGATATGAATTTCATATATATATATATATATATGAGTGAACTTCACACATATATAAAGAGTCAAGACCATTTTAAAAATGTGAGAATCATCCAAAAAGATCCCAAACATTTTCCAATCTTTTCCCTCGATTTTCTCAATAAGTAGCTAATCCTCGTGTCATATGTCTTGCAAGATATCTTTTATGTCTTTAGTCTCAAAACTTACAAAGGGGTTAATTTTATTAAGAATAGAGGGATTTCAAAAAATTATTAAAAAATTTATATAATACTCATATAAGTATAAGTGTAGGGGTAAGTTTTATATGTTATGAGTCTCACATTTACGTGAATATTATATAAAATATTTGATAATATTTTTTAAAATTTTTCATATTTTTTTATTTTTATTTTTATTTTTATCTCTTAAATTGTCGTTACTTTTTTTTTCATTTTTTGAACTATTAATTTCTTTAAAACTCTTAAAATTCGAGATAGTTGTCCAAATCAATAGTTGTAAAAGCTTAATTTAACGGTCAAAAATGTCATTTATTTAAACAACTTAAATTATATAACCAATCAACTTAAATTATATATAAGTGTAGGTGTAGGTGTAGGTGTAGGTGTAGGTGTAGGTGTAGGTGTAGGTTCCAGTATGTTAAAACGAGTGAGGAAGAAGATGGCGTTTGATTGTAGTGTGTAAATTGTCTAAATAGTGTGAGTAAGATGAAACTTTGATTGTAGTATCAAAAATGTTTTAGAGTTCTAATAAACGAGCTTTAATATCTCTAATAGAGTGTGGGTTTCACTCTGATAATAATATTTGTGTCTCGTGAGTTTTTTTTTTTTTTTTTTGAATTTTCATGTCATTAGAACTCTTTGATTTAAAGAAATGTATCATTATTGTTGTAGTATATAGATTGTCCAAAATGTAAAATTACCTTTTGCTCATTAAGTTTGGTTTTTGCTATTATTCCTTTTGACGGACTCTCTCCAATTGGACTAGGCGTAGGTGGTGTCGAGTAATTGCCAAGTTTACAAGTTGAAGACATAAACACAAAAACAACCTATTTAATAAAGGGCTTAGCTTCTCTCTAGTTCGAAATAGGACTTGAGCGTATTGTTAGACTTTATGGGTTTATCTGAATCATTTAATATTTAGAGTTTATTAGCTCTACAAAAAATTATATTGGTCGGATATTAATAGGGGTGTGCGTAGTGCGGGTCGGTGCGGTTTGAGAGAAAAATAGAAACCGTATGACGGGTGACAGATTGATAAAAGTATCACTAGAATTTGTCATTTTTCTTATCAAAAATCAGAGGTTCGGTTGGCAAATAATGGCGGATTTGCCTTGGCGGTTTATAAAAAATATAATTCAAATTACAAAACTTAAATCAAAGAGTAAAAAAAAGACGAGAGATACCGTGATGTTAAGCATCTTACGAAACTTTCTTCTGATGCAGCAAGTGTAGCAACGACATGATAATATCAACGACTATGCCATCAGTTCATTACAAGCATCTATGAAAGGTGCAATGATCAAATACAATATATAAAATTAATATCATTCAGGGTTTACAATATATTAAAAATGTTTACTGTTGAAAAGTATTTAGATTGAAAAGTGAGCTGATACAAGTTTGCAACATGGCTAGAAAAAAAAAAAAAAAAAAAAGAAAAGTGAATTGTCAGTTCATTACAAGCATCTGTGGAAGTTACAATGATCAAATACAATACATAAAATTCCCCTCGAGCAGTAATGTAATACTATATTTTAAGGTATAGAACAACAAGCAAACTTAAGTAAAAAAGAATTTTTAGAATCTTATAAAACATGATTTAATAGCGGTGCGGGTCGGTGCGGTTTGGAAGAAAAATAGAAACCGGCGGATTGATAAAAGTATTACTAGAATTTGCCATTTTTTTTACCAAAAATCGGCGATTCGATTGGCAAATAATAACGAATTTGCCTTGGCGGTGCGGCTTGGTGCGGTTTTGGCGGTTTCGACGGTATTATGCACACCCCTAGATATTAATAACGCTTTATTAGATCAAATTTGTGTCAATGGTAACTATGATTTTAAAAATAAATTTGACACAAATATAATCTGATCAAGTGGCTATTGATATTCAATCAACGTTATTTTTTATAAGGATGAAACATTTGACGAGTCCTAAATATTAAACCATTCGGATCATTGATGTGGGCCCTGTGGTGGGCTCACGAGGCCCAACAAGGCGCTCCAATTGCAAAACCAAATGGAGAGAAGCATTGTCCTTTAATAAATGTGTTATCTACGCAAATACTAGCACGACCTGGTAAAAATCATGTCAATATGTGGTTGACACGATTAATTGATGCACCTATTTAACATGCATGATACAACACGAAGACAAGAAAAGAAAACTTATTTAACCTGTTAATATTTTGTTCCATCTTTGTTAC